GAAATTTTTGGACATAGTTTGTTTCAGTAAAACTAACTTATATATTAAATAAGAAAAAATTTCACTCAGTCATTTCTCAGAAAATTGAAGTGGTTCACTGTTGACGCTGGTTCAATGTAGCCTACTCTCCCCTATTTCCATATCGGATCTCGCATTTAAAGTCAGAATTGACAGATTTCTGACTGATTTGCTCAAAATTTTGAGATATACTCAAAAAACTGATAAAAATGTAATTTAATATGAATAAAGGAAATTTTTTGCTATGACACTACACTAGTGTATTCCCATGTATTTTTTCACTGTGATTCCAAAGTCAGAATTTTCAAAGTGGCTCAAAATTTTGGATTTCATTAAAAGTGCTCAAAAACATGCATGCTTGTACCTGTAACCAGGGTTTGAGTTCTATCTCTTATCTCAAAATTTTGAACAAATCTGTCACTTCTGACTGCGAATACGGATTCAGCGGGAAAAAGTACATGGGAATATTACTATATTACACTACTGTGTAGTGTCATAAAAAATTTTTTCATCTTAATTCGGATTTTTGAGTTTTTTTCTGAGTGGTTTTTTGAGTTTATCTCAAAATTTTGAGCAAATCTGTCAATTTTAACTTCGAATTCGGATTCAGCATGCAAAAATACATAGGAATATACTTTCGCAATGTCACAGAAAAAATTTTTCATTTTCGTCATTTTAATTCGGTTTTTGAGTCGTTTTTTGAGTTAAGCTCATAATTTTGAGCACATCTGTCAATTCTGACTTCGAATCCGGATTCAGCGGGAAAAAATACATGGAAATATGCTATTGTCATGTCACAAAAAATTTTTTTAATTTTTTTGGTTCAAATTCGTGTTTTGAGTCGTTTTTTTAGTATAACTCAAAAAAAAGAACCAATTTGAGCATTTGGACTTCAGATTCGGATTCAGCGGCCAAAAATACATGGGAATATACTACTGTAGTGTCTCGGCCACGACACTTTTTTTTGTGTGCCTGTGTTATTGGTCAATGAGTACTTAACTTCAATGCCCTATATCGTTTGATCGACAATGTCCCGTAACCGTTTTTTACAAATATAAACGAGCATTAAATACTCTAAATTTAAGCAATTTATTTGAAACAAACCAATCATATTCAGGATTAAAATTTGGGGATTGTATGATGCCGATATGGTTTTTTATAATTCCTAATCAGAGATACCAGTATTCCTCAAATAATGAATTTTTTGACAATCCAATAAATTTTTAAAACTTTGTCCGACATATTGGATCCATCATTTTCAATTTTGAAAAACGAACATAAGATTTGTAATCAGCGACCCCAAAAACCTCGAATAACGAGTTTTAAGTTACTACGACGAATTTTCAAATTTTTGACCGCCATATTGGATCCGCCATTTTGAATTTTTAAAAACTGACATCAGGTTCGTAATCAGCGGTCTAAAAACATTCGGATGATGAAGTACAAAAAATTAAAAATTTTGTTGTGTTTTTGTAAATAAAGTTATGAATTTTCAATAACATGTAAGTGAAGTCCATATCAATACGTCTGATTGAATTTTCAATAACATTGAGTTGAATATTCAATAGCAACTGTAATTGGAAATTCAAAAACATAGACATAGACATGGAACTGAAAATTTAATAACATGGAATTGAAATTTCAGTAATATAAAGTTGGAAATTCAATAACATAGAATTGAGAATTCAATATCAAAGAATTGAAAATTCAATAACATTAATATGAAAATTAAGTAAGTTTGACCAGTATTGTGTATGAATACAATAAAAAAATTATTTTGGGGAAAAATATTTCTAATAATGTAGGAATTATTTCTTTTTTGTAAATTTTACAATTAAGGATGAACATTTACCAAGATTAAAAAAAATAATTGTAGCTTATAAAGATTCTTTTTATTTCACAAAATATGTTTGATTACAAAACTATTTTACAAAATATTTTTCACAAACCGTCGGGTAATGTCACCTTGAGTGGACCGCCTAAGCTTTTTTTCGAAAAAATTCTTTATGAAAGCAAATTAATCGGAGGTTTCTATTCCAAGCTTTAGTTTCGATCCCAAGATAAGTGTTTATACCATAATAGCTTTGATTTTTTTTTATTTGGAAAAAAAATTGACTTTTAAAAAAGAGCTAATTTTTAAGGAACGAAAAAAGTGTAACCTTGAGTGGACCACTCCTAAAAAATTGCAAAAGTTATTCTAAATTCTTTAATGTATTTAATATTTCTGATAAATTAAAACAAATTTTATGCTTATGCAACTTCAGACCATGTATGTGTCGCAATGTTTACAAGTAAAACCATTTTTAATAATTTTGGCACATATCACATCAATAACACAAAAAAATTAATAAAGAACATAAAACATAGTTTTAAACCCATTTATTGTCAATTTATATATACAAAAATGGTAAACTGACATTACAAATGGAAAAACAGGCAGTCCACTCATGGTTACAAACAGTGGTCCACTCATGGTGACATGCAACTTTTGATAGCAGCCACCACAATTTTTTTTTGAGTTAAAATTATCACTTAATTAAACTAAGACAATCAATTTAAATATTCAAAGTAGTAGAAAAAAAATAAGTTACACTACCGGCGGAAATTGTGCGAACGCTAACATCTCGAGCTATTAAAAAACACACCCGCACAGAAAGAGTCATAACTCGGTTAAAAATGAAGCTAGATGCTTTTTTTAAATTGCATTGGAAAGCTTATTAAATTTCCAATGAAATACCACTATTTTAAGTTGTATTGCATAAATAGAAAGCGAGATATCATGTTATGAAGACAAAAAAATAATTTTATTTTTTTCGGAATTTCTTACCCTGACTCCTGGCAAAATTTAGAAAAGTTAATGAAAAAATTGTTACTTTTACAGACTATTCCTTGTAACCTGAGCTTTACATAGAGACCAAGAACAGCAAAAAATATTTACGGGTTCCCGAGATATTACAAAAAGAGTCGGACCGTGCGAAGCAATGTTTTCAATCATCGATTTCTCTAATTCGCCGTTGAGTGTGGCTGTGAAAAAAGTGTCGAAAATTAATTTTACCAAGTACATTCTTACTGGGATCCACTTTTTAAATATCATCAGGGTAAGAAATCCCGAAAAAAATAGAATTATTTTTTTGTCTTCATAACATGATATCTCGCTTTCTATTTATGCAATACGACATAAAATAGTGTCATTTCATTGGAAATTTAATAAGCTTTCCAATGCAATTTAAAAAAAGCATCTAGCTTCATTTTTAACCGAGTTATGACTCTTTCTGTGCGGGTGTGTTTTTTAATAGCTCGAGATGTTAGCGTTCGCACAATTTCCGCCGGTATAGTGTAGATTAAAAAATTCACTATTGCTGTTCACTATTGTTTAATACTTATAAAATATAAATTCTTTTCTAACAGTGTAGCAGCTTATATTTTAACTTTGAGTCTATGAAAAAAATATTTCTTTGACAAAAAACTGTAAAAATTTTGTGTTTTTTGTTAAAAAAATGGCCACAACTTCTTCAAATTTTATTTTTGTGCTATTTAAATGTCAGATTCTGGAAGAGGACGAAAAAAGGCTTTAGGAATGGTTCTGTTCAAATGTTTGCCATACGTGAATACATAGAACAGTGACCTTGAATCTTCGAAAAAAATCTGTCTTTTCCGTTCTTAAGGGGTTAACTTGTAAGTAGTTTTATTGATTGAAATAAATAGCGGAATTTAAAATAGTTTTTATTGCAGATCTCTTATAAAAATTAAAACATTTTATTATTACTGCGATTAATATTTTGAAATAATACTTAATGGTATTTAGTAACATTGATTAAATAAACAAGTTAACTAGTTAAATTAATTACATTAAATTTCTTATCAACACCTCGTCTTCCTTGTAAATATCGAAAGCTTCGCCGTTAAGTCCTATAGACTGGATCAGGGAATATCTTTTTTATCACCGACATTTTTCGGCTCATCTTTAGAAATTGACCTTTTAATATTAAAATTTTTTGCAAAATCCTATCACCATTCTAATAGCTGCTGCATTTTTTAAACAATTATAAATAATTTATTACTTATATAAATTATTGAAAATCTTGATATTTGTTAGGGGTCTTCCACAAACTAGGTGGCACTTCGAGGTGGTGAAATGCCATATTTACTTTATTAATTAAAAACGATTTTTATCTATATTAGGTTGGTAATCTTGAGCCGATATATTGAAAACCATATGGCTTTGCAAACTCGTGTTAACATGCCAAGTATTAGCCACTATTGGTCTAATATTGGTTGTCTTTATAGGACCGTTGTACGCAGTTTAACTCCTACTAGGCCATAAACCAATACGAAATAACGTTTAAAATACTTAATTCGACTTAGCACCACGGGAAGTAGAAGCTCAGCAGTTCACAGTTGATAAAGAATCACTATTTGTATTTTTAACTATAATTGTCTCTACCAAGTTTATACGTTATTAGAGTTAAGTTTATATCTGCTGATAACTTAACAAAAAATCTGTATGCCTCCAATTAACAAAATCAGCTTCAACTCAATTATAATCACATAGTTGTTTCCAGGTAGGAATTTTTTTTTAATGCGTATACTACAACTACATATGTAAAAACATATTACAAAATATATTGTATCAGAGAAAATTGAAAAATCATTCAAGCATCAGTTTAACAAATATTTTTAATTGCTCTTTTATTTTACAGACCAAAAAATAATTATTCTGTGATATAATGACTTTAAATCAACTGTGAACTACGAAGCTCCTGCGTCAATAGTTGTGTCCCATAGTGCATCGTCGGACTAAATTTTAAATTTACATTTACAATTTTTAAATTTTGATAATTTTTAAAAACTTTTTGGCCTACAAACATCTATTTTCTAATTTTATATTTTTGCCAATTTTCAAGAAAAGTGAAAAAACAGTTATATTTAAAAAATAATTTGACCAATTTTAGAAATGGAAATTCATCTTTTTTGTTATTCACCTCTCGTTTGACGTCGGCGGGATCAAGATGGTCGAGAACAAACTCCTGAACGTATTCTCTGGCGAGGTGATCCTCTGCTTCCATCTTAACCTCGTCGACCTCCGCCTCCTGGTGTACCACCTCTTTTACCACATTTGCTACAGGAGCATAGGGCAGTGATTTTTCACCTCGACAACCACCACCTTCCCCTCCACTTCCGTCGCCTCCTGGACAACTTGGATTCTGTTTTTGATGCGTCGTGATCACTTTTTTTTACACTATCAATAAATCAATCTCACCAGTTCTCTGAATTTCAACTTTTACGAAAATTCTAATTTTTGGAAACTACAAAAAAAGATGAGAAAAAATAAAAGTGTTTGCCTCTTAATTTTTTATAAAGAGATGCTATAAATCAAACATGAACACAGAGAGTTTTTTTATTAAAGGAGAGATTTTTAGAGTATATATATATATATATATATATATATATATATATATATATATATATATATATATATTATTTTTAATGTCAGTATAATATATGGGTGATTCTACAAAAGAGGGAATTTTGATGTCTGAAGCATGTTTTGTATATTAATTTTGGAAATAATAAATTTACTTTTAATGAAAATTGTAAATCTTAATGGTTTCTATTATGGCACAGAAAAATACCGATGAAAAAAAATATTTGTTTGCAAAAAATACACATTATAGTGCTAAATTCTCATTCGTCTGGCATGTCCCTTTGGGAGAATGACAGTTCATATTGAGAATAAATGTCACTTTTCAAATGTTTTGCGGAAAATTCATACTGAAATTAGTAATTTTGAGTAGTTGTAAATTACTAATATGGAAATAATTATGACGTTTCTCTATATCTTATTTATAAAATATCTTCGCGAAACGCGAAGTTTGTCCCCTGAATTTGTTATCATTCGTCTGGCAGTGCAACAAATGTAAAAATTATTAAACATCAACATTCTGATGAAGTTACTGTTCGTTGTAGTTGTTAATTAAACTAAACTAAATGTGATACCAATCGGGTTTTATTGAATCTTCTAATCTATTAACCAAGATTTCTCAATTTGTGACGGAGATTGTGTTGTGACCAGACAAATTCTCATTCGTCTGGCATACATTTTTTAAAAAAATATTTTATTTTTTGGTTATTCTATAAACTTATGTTTTGTAGATTATTATTCTTTATAAGATAGTACTAAAGGATTTTTTCATTTAATGTTATTTTTCTATTTTTTAAACAAAAAATGCCAAATTCTCATTTGTCTGGTTCTAATTAAATTTACAAGAAATTGGTATAACTGAATTTTCAATTTTCATTTCGCATAAATAATTATATTGACATAAACAAACAAATGGAATAAGTATTTTTTTATATGAATAAAGTTTAGCCCACTAAAATCAAAGTACCCAGGTAGAAAAATTTAATGGAAGCCTAGATATATGCTAGCGCCACCACTGGAATTTGTATGGCAGTTTATCTCGCCGAAGTCTTCTAGCGCCTTGCATGGCGCGAGCACTTTCTGCTAGAATGCAACATAACCACAAATATCGCTGTTGCATAAAATATCAACGGTGTTTGTTTTTTTGTTAAGGAAATTTTAAAAAATATTTTAAGTAATTAATCTAACAATTTATCACCAAGAATAACAATAAATACTTTTGATGAATTAAACATATTAATTTCTCTAAATTCAAATTAGAAAACATAACCTCGAACTGGATTTATGTTTTCTTTATTTTTAATTGACCTGTCAGAACAGTTTTATTGGTTTTAAATAAGAACATAACTTTTGCAATTAAATTATAAGTGATTTTTTAATAATAATTTTGACTTTTGGAGATAATTTTCATAAACTAATATGTATATATAATTCCACAAGTTTAAGAAGTGTGATTACATTTATTAAAACGAAACGTGTAATTAATTCTTTAAATATGTATAGTTTCCATTGTAAACAGATAATTAGTAAATATTTTTTATATATACTTTTATTTAAAGTCATCAAATGAAATGACATATAAGAATAATTGTTTAATTCGCGAAATAAATTTTTGGCAGGTGAGGTTATGTACATTCTGTTATGTTCGCATTCTAGCACTGCGAGCAGAATGCGAGGAAGGTGCTAGAGCACAAAAGTGTTTCAAATGCTGTCAGCGCCACTACAGCGCAATGGCGTGCGAGAGTGGCACCTTACTAGCGCCACCAAATTTTTCTACTAGGGTAGTTCTTTATTATTAGACACTTGAACTTACTTTTACAAATTTATGATTTGTGAAATTGTGTTTATAGAAACGAATAGACCATCCGTAATTTGTTATAAACAATTATTAATTAAAGTACAACAAAAATTAATTAAACCGATGACTTTTATTGATCCTCGTAAAAATCGTTACTTAGGGGTTTTCGGGGTTGCTGATTAAGAACCTAATGTCAGTTTCTAAAATTTTTCAAATTCAAAATGGCGGATCCAATATGGCCGACGATTTTGGAGAAACTTAACATATTCGTCTGAAAATCGTTACTCGGTCATTTTCTGTTTCGCTTATTACCAATCCGAGGTCAACTTTTTTCAAATTAACCATTGTTTTTATAATTTAATTATGTTTTTTAGTTCTACTAATACATTTATTGTTCATAGATGTATAAAAATAAATAAATAAATTTTAAATAATTTTTAATAATCATAATTAATTAATTAATTACAATGTATTATTATTATTATTATTATTATTATTATTATTATTATTATTATTATTATTATTATTATTATTAATTATTAATTAGTTACATAAATTAAATAAAAATAAATTCATAAATTATTAAAAAGTAAATTCAAAATTAAACTCAACGTTAAAAACTAGAGGTGTATTCAAAGTATTTAGTATTCGATTTTTTCGGGTACTCGATTTCTTTTCAGTCCTCGGAAATTTCCGTATGCATAAAGTATTCCGTATTTTAAATAATTTTGAACTATCTGATTCAAAAGTTGCGAAAATGTTGGTAACTTGTAAATTGTTAGTTCTAACTTTTCCTCTAGATTCGATAACTCCGTCAATTTTGTAAACAAACAATTTTGTGTCTGATTATGTGCCGAATGTAACATAACCTATTATCTGAAAAAGTTAGTTTATTATGCATTGTAAAATAGCATAAAACATTTTAATTTTATGCTGCTAATAAACGTAGTGATTTTTACTCATTGTGTAAAATTTTGAATTTTAAAAAACTGACATTAGATTCTTAATCAGCAACCCCGAAAACCCCCGGGTAACGATTTTTAGACGAATACGATAAGTTTTTTTAAAAGTTGTCCGCCATATTGGGTCCGCCATTTTGAATTTTGAAAAACTGACATTGGATTCTTAATCAGCAACCCCGTAAACCCCCGAGTAACCAATTTTATAAAAATCCATTCATTAATTTTTATGTTGATGTGAATTTTCTTGACACGATTTTAATTCTCTGGATAAATTGTTTATAAATAACCATAACTTTTGTAAATTTTAATATTTTGTCTGGCCACTTATGGATGTCTATATTAGTACCATTAACTTGAAGTTAAAATACTTTTCAGACCTTAAATGAGAAAAAAATGTTGTGTCCAAATTTTCTTGATTTTCGTCCTTCGTTTGTAGAATCACCCATATGAGTGATTTTTCACAAACTGTGATTTTTATGTCCCTAACGTATATATATTAACTGTATTAACCTTTATGGGACTGACGAGGTACCTTTTGCATTTTCAAATGGATTTTTTTAATAATTTTTAAAATCGTATTGACCTAAAGTTTTTTGATATCTCCAATTTATCCATACAAAGTGTTTTTATATTATTTATAATGTTCCTTTTTTATTTATTTATTCGGAAATAATAAACAAAGTTTCTTCCCCATAAAAGGGGGATGAGGTACTCGGGTACCTCTATACATTTCATGCAGATAAATGTAGAAATTTTTATTAAAAAATTATGAAAAATTTCATTAAACAATTTTTATAGTACTGCACATAATTTTTTTATAAAATATGTAATTTAGTTACTATAGTTAAATAATAATATCCATAAGAAATAGTCAACAAATAAACATAGGTACCCGCGGATGCCTCGTCCGTCCATAGAAGGTGTTTTTTTCCTCAGTCCCATAAAGGTTAATTATAAATTAACGTTCACCTTTATACACGGAAAGAAAAAGTCCGTCAACCATTAATGGATTAGTATATTACTTTGAGACGGGACACTTTTTCCGTTGATGGTTACTTAACTTTACTTAACGATTGAAAACGAGTCATGGATTGATTAGAAGGCCAGTATGTGACCAATTGTTTTAGATTTAATGCTGAATTGTTATCAATGGCTGTTTGAATGTTTACGAATCATTAGTGAAAGTTTGTGAAACGTTAGTTGACTCGCATTCTAAATCGGCGCTCTTCACTAGCGCATTGTTGCGCAGTGTACCGATGCGCATTTCTTCCGGTTTCTCTATAGTCCATGTGTTTTTGCTGTCTGCTATACATATTCCTATATACTATTATGTGTAATGTGAATATTTAACTTAACTAATAATTTGCAGTTGAATTGCGTCTAGAAATTGACCTCGATAAAAATATATTTTCTTTTATATTTCTCGCTAATTAAAAAGTAGTTATTAGTGCAAAATTATTTCTCACAAGTTGTGAAAAATTTTGTTATTTGGTATATAAGAACAGTTCGCTTCTAAACTTAAAATGTTATAAGTGTGCGTTTCTACGTGTAGTTATTATAAGTGCGAAAATGTGTTGGTCTAAAGCGTCTAAGAGTGTAAATAAAATATCGGAACTGTGCAACGAAAAAAATGTGTTCATTCTGTACCAAATAGTGTCTAAAATTAGGGATAATTCTGAAAGAAGTTGAATTTTTTGAATGCTTTTGATAGTCATAGAAAATTTAATAGACAGTTTTCTAAATTTTAGTGAACGAGTTTTATATATTGATGACAGTTTTCTAAATTTTAGCAAGCAACTCGTCACTGATTGTGACTCAAAGTATGTTATCCATTCAATGATTTTGTGTCCCGTCTCAAAGTAATATACTAGTCTATTAATGATTGACGGACTTTTTCTTTCCGTGTATGAACTACACCGGCACACAAAAAAAAATTTGGATTGACAGGACTGCCATGTGGTAGGTTTTCTTCCTTAAGGTGTATCTAAACAGAAAAACATTGTCCGACCTAAAAGTTAGTTCGTGTTCTCTTCTTACAGGCTTGGTGGGGAGGGGGGGTGAAGTTTGAGAAACTGATTTTTATGGGAATTTACTTAATTTCTATAAATAAAGCTGAATTTTTGC